CATGAAGCCTTTCCTCATCCCCTCCTCTCTCTCCCTCCTCCAACTACCTTGGCTCTACCTATCTGTGAACACGCTGTACCCTCCCAATGGATTGGAAGCTCCTTGAGAACAAGGATTGTCCCACTTTCATCTCTGTCTCCCCAGCCCCAAATATAGTACAATACACACAAGCCACTTAATATATGAAATAGAATTTTAATAAGATGGATCTTTACTTTTAACAACTCACATTTTTACAGTGTCTTTATGTTTATAAAGCCTTTTCTTCCTAGTCACCCTGTGAGGAGACGATGTTAATTAGGGAGTCAACCGCGTTTATTAAGCATGTGTTATGTGTGAACCAATGCTAAGATGAGAAGAGTAAGACCCTGAGGAGGTCATCAGCTTATCCAGGATCACACAGTTAAGTGGCAGAACCAGGATTCAAAACTAGGCCGTGTGGTTCAGTGGAAGGAGTATTGAATTTAAGATGAGAGAACCCAGATTTGCATCCCACCTCTGCTCCTTGCTAGCTGTGCAGTGATCATGGGCAAGTTCTTTTTCATCTCTCTGTAAAATGAGGCAGTTGAACTAGTTGGCTTCTAAGGGACTTTCCTGCTCTAGAGCTGATTCTGAACCCAAGGCCAGTGGTTTTCCATGCTGCCTCTAAACCAGCATGCCTGAAGCCAATCCCATGGCAAGTGCAGGGATGAGCTATCTTTGAATCTTCATCAGTTTCCACACCTGTTTCCACATCACCCTGACCAGAGCCCTAGTTATCTCAGCAAGACAGGTGCATGAATGAGTCCTCAGAGCTTTATGTGCTCCAGTAAATTGAGATGTCTGGCCTATTGGCCTTTGTGTTCTGTCCACTCTTATAAATCTACCCCAATATGTTCAAAGTAGCTTGTTAAGTTCATTGATGTGGGCATTCTCTGATTTATAGCTGGAAGACCAGTCAGTCCCATCATCTCATTTGATGGATGAGTAAACTGAGACCTAGAGGAGTTGAGTGACTTACCCAAGGTTGCATAGCCAGGAAGTGTTAGAGTCAGGATTCGAACCCCACTCCTCAGACTCCAAAAACAAGATTCTTTCCACTGCCCCATATGGCTTCTCCCTCTATGAGTTTGACTCTCAAACCATCCTTGCCTTTTCATCCTTTGTGATTCTTATCCAGGTTCTCCAACAGATCCTTCACAGAAGGTTTTCCCAATATGCTGGTAGCCTTCCTCCGGGTCCTTTTTACATTTTTATGGATGACACTGCAACACTTGAGCTGTTAATCTGTTATCCCTTCCTTCAGTCATGTGACTGGCTCACCTTTGCTGATCACATGTGTTTTTGTTTTTTTTTTTTTTGCCAGGCAATTGAATTAAGTGATTTGCCAGGGTCACACAGCTAATAAGTGTCAAGTGTCTGAGGCTGGATTGAACTCAGGTCTTCCTGACTCCAAGGCTGGAGCTCTATCCACTGTGCTACTTAATTGCCATGATGTGTGTCTTACATGACATCCCTTATAACATGTCTTGCATGTAAATCATTTTTTGAATTATGTTGAAGGCTATTTGTACCTATCTTGTATGTCCCCTTATTCTTTGGGTCAACCAGTCAATCAATCAATTAACTTGTATTAAGTGCCTACTATGTGCCAGGCACTGGGTTAGGGACTGGGAATATGAAGAAAAAAGAATGAAATAATTCTTTGTCCCAAGGAGCTTACATGCTATGGGAGGGATAGAACCCACAAATTGGATTCTTCAGAGGTTGTAGTATCCCAAGGCTCACAATTCTACAGCATTGCCAGAAGAACATTTGTGTTTAAAAAAAAGATGAGATTTTTTTTTTTACACTGGGATGCTGCTGGGTTCTTTAAAAGTACTACTCAAATTCCCAAATGACTGAAAGGTGCAGAAAAGCCAAGATCCCACTGTGTTGAATATTTGTATTACAGAAAGAAAATCATTTGATTCAGTAGAGCAAAATGTAGCCTTCAAGTCTATCCTCCCAAAAGCAGTCACTTCATTTGAGATTCCTTGATAGATGCAACCACCAGCACCATGCTAGACAGAACTGAGCAGGGAATGGTTCCTTTTCAGATGCAGGGGCAATGACAGGAGGCAGCTAGTTCCCCAGAGAGTCCCCTACTATTAGTGGGGATAACATCCTTTAGTATTCCAGAAGACCAGGGACAGCTAGGTGGTGTAGTGGATAGAGCACCGGCCCTGGAGTCAGGAGAACCTGAGTTCAAATCCGGCCTCAGACCAGCCACTTGACACTTACTAGCTGTGTGACCCTGGGCAAGTCACTTAACCCTAATTGTCTCCCCCCAAAAAATATTCCAGAGGACCATGAGGCAAGGCACTTGAATGCTAGTCATTGATGGAAAAGTATAGAAGCAAACCCTCCCAGGAAGAATTTGTGATGTTTCCTCCACCCCCCTCCCCATACTGGTACCTTTGGTCAAAGCCCCATTCACTCTGTGCTAGTTACAGCTCTGACAGCTATAGAGATAAGATACCTAGCATTTTCATGGAATGGATCCAGTGCAGGGTACGAATGGAAAGTGGATTCCCAATAGATGCTAAGGTCCTCCAGATGCTTCTGATTTGAGAATTCAGTTCAATTCAATTCAACAAGCATTTAAGTACCTACCATATGCCAGGTGAGAGGCAGCAAGGTATAGTGGATAAAAGGCTAACCTTAGAGTCAGAAAGACCTGGGTTCAGGTCCTGACTCTGACTTACACTTGGTTGAGTCACCCCAGATAAATAGCATAACTTCTCAGTGTCTCAGTCAACTCTCTCAGACTGCAAATTCCAAGCCAGGAGCCTATCTGCACTGGGTAAAAGGAATCCCTCACAGAACATTCCCCTCACTGATGATATCACCAGGACAAGTTAAAGTATAGTTTTCCAGTGCCAAGCCCAGGGAATATAAAGCTGAAAAGAAAAAAACAACCCTTACCCTCAAGAAGATTTTGTTCTACTGGGAGACCCAGTATAGATACAGATAAGTAAATAGGAGTTATAGACAAATGAAATACACCGTAATGGAGCAAGGTGGGGAGCTGTGTGCTAATAACTGGAGAAGGTCAGGAAAGACCTCGTGCAGAAAGTTGAACATGAACCAATTCTTGAAGGGAGTTAGGTATTCCAAAAGGTGGAAGGTAGCCCAGACAATGCTTCAGCCTGTGGGACGAACTAGGCAAAGGCCCTAAGTTGGGGGATGGAATAGAGAAGAGGAACTAGGCCAGCTGGGCTGGAATGTGGAGTGATGTGCAAAAGCCTGGAGAGGCAAGCTGGAGTCCCATTGTGATGGGCTTTGAAGACCAAAGGAAGGAGTGTACATTTGATCCTGGGAGCCACTGAAGCCTTTTGAACAGAGAAGTAACAGGGTCAGACTTGTTCTTTAAGAATTTCTCTTCAGCAGCTGAGCGGAGTGTGGATTGGAGAAAGGAGAGATTAAAGGCAAGGAAACCAATTAGAAGGCACTGGCTATAATCCAAGCGAGAGGTGACGAGGGGCAAGACTAGGGTGGTGGCTCTGGTAAGAGAGAAGGGAACGGATGTGAGAGATAAGGAGATGCAATGGAAAGACTTGACAACTAATTGGTTATAGGTGGTGAGGGAGAGGAACAAGTTAAGGATGACTCCAAGGTGTTAAACCGATTGATTAGAAGGATGGTTTTGTCCACCATAAAAGTAGGAAAGTTAGGAAGCAGGGTGAGTTTAGGGGGAAAGATAATGAGTTCCATTTTGGATATGTTGAGTTTGAGATGCCCATGAAACAGGCTGGAGCTGTCCAGAAGGCAGTTAGTGATATGAGATTGGAGCTCAGGATAGAAATAAAGACTGGATCCTAGTTTGGGAGTCATCTATATAACATAATTGAACTCAAGGGACCTGAGGAGAGAGTATAGAGAGAAAAGAGAAAAGGCCCAGGATGGAGTCTTGGGATATACCCATGCATAGGGGCATGGATGATTCAGCAAAGGAGACTGTGAAGGATTAGTCAGACAGGTAGCAAGAAAGCTAAGGCAGAGTCATGTCAGGGAGAAAAGAATATTAAAGAGGAAGGAATAGATGAAGATTAGTGTCAGATATGGCAGAGAGGTCAAAAAAAGTGAGGACTGAGAAAATACCACCGGATTGAGTAATTAAGAGGTCATTGGTAAAATTTTGACAATCTTACCTTGGAAACAATAGTTTTCATTGAGTGGATGAGTCAGAAGCCAGATTGCAAGGGGCTGAGGAGCAAGTGAGTGAGGAAGTGGAAACAATGAATGTAGACAGTTCTTTTCTAGGAGTTAGGCTATAAAAGGGAGGAGAACTAGAGGATGATAGCTTGAGGGAATGGCAGTGTCAAATGAAGGATTTCGAAGGATGGGAGAGTTCTGGGGATGTTTGTAGGCTACTGGGAAGGAGCTAGTAGATAAAGAGATTGAAAATTGGGGGCAGGGAACTAATCAAAGGGATAAGTTACTGGAAGATCCAGGAGGGAATAGGATCAAGGACACAAGTAGGGGACTGACCTTGTCAAGAAGGGCTGGCTCATGATAGATAACATTTATTAAGTGCTTACTATGGACTAGCCACTGTGCTAAGTGCTGGGGATACAAACACAAGACAGTCACTACCCTCAAGGAGCTTGCATTTTAAAGGGGGAAGACAGGAGGGGACAGTACCTGAATAGGGGCAAGGTGGCTGGTGAGAAGGTGAAGTTCAGAGAGTGAGTTCAACTATGAGTGACTCAGATACTTCCTGGGAACAAAAGAGGAGAGAATGGGAAGTGTATGATATTGAAGGGATCTAAGATGTTGAATGGGGAAGAAGAGAGAGCTCATAACAGGTGACAATTTTCTCTGCAAAGTATGAGGCAAAGTCTTCTGCCAAGAGGCACTAAGAGATTGGGGGGCACAACACCACCTCTGGTGGGACTATGAGGAGATCCTGTGGGGGAGGGAGTGTCAGTGGAAGTGGGGTCCTAGTTCCTGACCTTCAGCGTCCCCCATACTTCTAGATGACCATGATGTCCTGTCTTTCTTGACCTTCAGCCTGAGCAAGCCAGCTCCAGAGGTAAAGTATGAATTGAGTCCCCTCGTTAGTTGTTGTTGGAGGGGCAGGAGAAATGAGGTTTCTTCAAACTTAGCCCAAGCTGAATGGTTACTCTTTCCTTCTGGCCTCTGGCCCCCAGCTAGCTTGACCTGAAGGATCTGATGGCCCATGACAGAGGAATTGAAATGCCTGCCAGCTGAGCTAGGGAATACACCTTTATGCCGAGTAGAGAAGCTAGGCTGATGGGAATATTTCATGTTGGTGGTAGCCTTCCCAGCAGTCTAGTCTGAACTCAGGGAGACTTGGAAGAAGGTATGAGTGTTCACCTGCTCAGTTCTCCTCCCACTCCTGGGAAAGGGCCTGAACAGCAGCCTCCTGGGCTCCTGTGGGCGTGTCCACCTGTAGAGTTCCTCCTGTGTTTCTTCTCCTTTCGCCTTGTCCCTTCCAGCATGGTTGGGGACCTCATGACCGAGGCTGTTGCTAATGCATTATTTCCCCCCAGGCGACGCCAGCCTATTCTCAACGAGCTCTGTCCTGCCTCTCTATCCTGCCCCCACCCAGTTCTCTCCCCAGGCTCTTCCCTATGTCATTCCTGAATCTGAGCAACATAGGCTCAAGCATCAGCTGCAGGATTTACAGAAGAAGCTGAAACACCAGAAGGAAACTTCTCCAAAGCCAGACTTGAACACCCCCTCCTGGGGTAGGAGTCACATGACCCGCCCACCCCCACTCCCCCAGACCAGAGAAAACATGGTAGTGTGACGGGGAGATTGCTGGATTTGGAGTCAGAGGGCTTGGGTTCAAATCCCAGCTCCGCCACTTACTACCTATGTCACCTTGGGCAAGTCACCTACCTCTATAAGCCTCAGTTTCCCCAACTGTCAAATGAGGCAGGTGGACTAACTGACTTCTGAGACCCCTTCCAGCGCTAAATCTATGATCCTATCGTCTCGATGTCTTTATTTGTTCTGGTCTAGAAATGCCAAAGTCTCTTTTCTGCTATCCTCCTTTACCTCACCATGCCCTGCTCAAGTATCTGTTCCCAGCCTCATTAACTTGAGCTAAGACAAGCGCATGCACTTGACCATGACCAGAGAAGGGATTAAGTGGGGAGGGGCCTGGGAGCACTGCCTGGGAGAGGTGGCCATGAACCCCAGTGGGAGACCAGGGAATTTGACTTCCTTGGCTTGCGACTATGAGCAAGTCAATCCATCCCCAGAAGTCCAAGCAGCCAGGGACTAGGGCCACATGATGTCCCTCACCCCCACTCCTAGAAGTCCCTCCCTGAGTTCCCAACTGACTACCCACCCAGGGGAAGGGTACCTTGACCTGGAGTTGACCCTTAAGAGACACAGCCGGGTCCTGGAGCAGCTACAGGACCTCTCAGGGAAGATGACTCTGACTGTGGGACAATGGAGGAGTCAAATGCAGTCCTTGGAGCCCCTGGACAAGGAGAAGCAGGAGGCTCATGGTGCCCATTCAAGAGGCTGGGTGAGTGACTGCCTCTAGTAGGCACCCCAGCTTCCCTACAGGAGAAATGAGGGGAGGGTTCAGAGTCTTTATTCCTCCTTGTAGCCAGGGGGCAACCTCTAAGAAGATCCGAGAGTGGGAGAGAAGGTCAGGCATGTCCCACTACTATATTCTTGTGACTACAGTGAGCAGGGTTGAGAGTGAGTAGAGTAGTGCAGTAGAGAATCATCAGAGACAAAAAAAGAAGAGAAAGGGAAAGATTAGTTTATAGGACTCTGTAATAACAACAATGATGGTGTTAATGATAGTAATGCTCTAGGGATTGGAGAAATGACTAATATTTCACATTTATAGCTCATTTTACAATTTACAGAACGCTTCCTTCTCTCTTGCCAATCTTGTGAGTTGGGTCATGTACAAATTGCTAACCTTATTTTATAGATGAGGAAACTGATGAGGCGATGTGATGCAAGGGTGGTGGGGTGGGGGAGCACTGGATAGGAGTCAGAAGACTTGGGCTCGAATCCCTACTCTGCTACCAGTGTGATTTGGGGCAAATCACTAAATCTCTCTGGATTTTGGTTTCCTCAGCTGGAAAAGGTGGGGGGTTAAGGAGACTGCTTATGTAAGGTGGCTTCCCCTTCCAAATCCTATGATGGTTCCTAGAGATTCAGAGAGGTTAAGCAGCATCCCCCAGGTCACACAGACCTTGTCCTAGAATCCACTTCTCTGCACTCCAAGCTCAGTAATCTTCCCATTCGCTATCCCATGCTGAGTAGGAGGAGGGTAAGACTAGCAAATGAGAAGATCTGCTAGGTGCCATACAAAGTGCTAGGCCAGGAGCCTGGAAGACCTGAGATCAAATCCTGCCTCAGACACTTACTGGCTGTGTGACTGTGGACAAAGTGCTGTTTGCCTCAGTGTCCTCAACTGTAAAATGGGGATAAATAATAGCACCTACTTCCCAGGGTTGTTGTGAAGATCAAATGAGAAATATGAATAGTGTTTTGCGAACCTTAAAGAGCTGTGTAAATGCTAGCTATTAAAAGCAGGAACAGATAGATTCTTGCAGAGCCATGAAAATTAATGCATTTGTGAATGGATTTAGCCAGGGCTGGGAGAGGCCACTGGTGCTTATGAGGCACTAAAAATGCCCATTACTTGGGCTCAGGCTTACCGTCTGATGACAGGCATAGAACTGGGGCTAATTCACACGCCACTTTGCGTGTGATTGGCATATCACCTGATTAATGCCCAGATGCCCAGAAATCCTCCCAGCCACAGCTTCTTTCATCTGCCAGAGTCAAGCCCACAGCAGATCCTTGGCTGTCAAGACCAGCGTACCAAGCCTGGGAAAAGGAATGGACAGGCAGGCTCTGCTCAGGTGTGCCCAGCTGGGTTTGATCTTCAAGAGTAGAGCTGGGGATTGTGAGTTTGCTCAGCTCTGATGGCAGATGACTTTAAGCTTCATAATCCCTTGAGCGAAAGCTGCTTATGCCCTGGGTGATTGGTGGAAGGAGGAGATCCGGAGGGAAGAGGCAAGGTTTGGAGGGGTGGGGCAGGAGTGGGAAGAGACTGTAAAAGTCTTTCTCCTGGTGGGGGAGGGGGAGTTAGTTGGACATTCCTATGGGCAATCCTGGATCACTGTCTGCTGCAGGTCTGATCTCCAGGGACCCAACTACTGAGGCACAGAGAGGGGCAGTCTGGCTTCCAAGGTCACACGGTAAAGCAGGGGCCTTGGAAGAGCTCATTGATGCCAAGTCCAGGGCTCTCTCCCTGAGTGTGATGGGGCAGACTATTGGCCTGAAGATTCCAGGCTGCCTGAATTAAGGAGAGAGATAGGCCCATATAGCCTTGTATTCTAGAGGGCAGAGATGATGGCTATTATCCTGGGGAGTGAGCTGTCCAAACAATGGACTGATCAGCCTCCTATCAGCAAGTACCCTAGGCTGAGTACTGCGGGGAGAGGCAGAGAAATGAGAAAATATAGTCCCAATTCTCAAGGAGCCCCTGGAATGAGAGGGGAGGTACAACCTACTGACCTTATACCCCTTACATATGTTCTCATTTGAGCCCCTCAACAACCCTATAAAAATGAGGATTTTTATTCCCATCTCATAGATGAGGAAACTGAGGAACTCGGAGATGAAATAGTTTGTTCGTGGTCACATAACTAGCAAGTAGTAGAGTTAGGACTCAAAGCCAGGTCTCCCCACCCCAAATATAGGGGCCTTTCCATCACACTGAAGGGAGCTTTCAAGTGATTGGATCAAACAGATGAGGTTAATTGGGGAAGACTTCCTGGACATGAGCTTGGAGCAGAGGCTTTGAAAGAGTAGTTTGGGACTCCAAGGGTTCAGTTGGCTATGACTGGCCAGGATGTGGCCCCAGGGAAACAGTCACCCCCTCATCCCCAGACCTTCTCACTGAATGTCCCACCCTGGGGCTCTTGCAGAATTCTGCTGCTACAAGGGTCCTGCTCCATGGGCAACAGACTTTGCTTCAGAACATGCAGGAGATGAGGTAAGCACAATCCCCCACTCCAGAAGGGAGTGGGTCCAACCCTTGGCAGAGAGAGATGAAGCTGCTGACTACACGGTATGATCTGGGGGGTTCTGGCACAGCCCCCCTGATCAAAATACTCACTGCCACCTGACATTCTAACAGGAGAGCCTCATTCCTTTGGCTTCAGGGACACATCCCCTTGGGAAGGGTCACACATGAATGTTATCAGTCATTAATACCACAGTGTGAATGAGGTTATTAGAGCTTTTCTGTTGCTGGGGGTCACTGGGAATTTTGATGCAGGCTAGAAAGGGAGGGGTAATTTAGAACCTAGGACACTGCCTGGGGAGGACAGGGCAGGCAGGCTGGGGGTTGGGAAGAGGAGAGGAGAGAAAAGAAGCCCTATATAAGGTCCCTGGGACCCCTTCATTTCTCTTCTGCCTCTGTCTGAATACCCCATCTAAATTAGAAAACACTGGGAAGGTGGTCACTGGCAAGAGTGAGAGGATTGAAAGTGATGTGTCCAGAGGGGCAGACCCTAGAAGTCATAACTTTAGCTGCTGAGACCCCAGAAGCTGAAAGAGAAGTTCTTTCCCACTGACTTCTTGGCAGGATGGTTTGGACATCTGGCTTGGGAGGGCTTCAGCTGAGAGGAGGGCACTTGGGCCATCATGGGGAGCAGAGGGCCCAGCTGCAGGAGAGAGTGGCACAGAAACTGGCAAGGTTGAAACAGAGGGTTGGACCCAGATTGGCACAGCCTGATCCTTCCTACCAAGTTGGCCGTGTGCATAAACAAAGTTGGCGGCTATGCGGGTGGTAACATATAGGATGCCCCAAAAGTCTTGGTGTAATGTTAAGCTATTAAAGCTAATTGTTTATTGCTAAAGCTTAATAACTATTAAAGCTTAAAGTTTCACTAGGGCTTTGGGGCACCCCTTTAAGGGAGTAATGGGAACTGGAATATGTCCAGTTTTCTCCTTTACCCACTTCTGATCTTACCTGAAACTCCTACTATCAGAGTCCTTCCTTTGGACTAGGCCATCATGTCTCAGAAGAACCCAGTGGGGGCAGCTAGGTGGCACAGTGGATAGGGTTCCAGCATTGGAGTCAGGAAGACCTGAGTTCAAATCTGGCCTCATACACTTGACACTTACTAGCTGTGTGACCCTGTGCAAGTCACTTAACCCCAATTGCCTCACCAAAACAAAACAAAAAAACTGAAAATATAAAAATGAGAAAGAATAGTGGACTCTTAACAATACAGAATTGATCCAAATATTATTTACTTCCCCCTCATATATACCTGGATCTGGCTCGTATAAAACCTGAGTTCAAACCATAACTGATAAAAACACAAGAAGGGAATGGTCAAGCTTTGTCAGATGGGTTCCTGCAGCAAATCACCTATCCACAGTCATACAACTGGCAGCTATGGAGAATATGAGATCCTGCTTTGTCTATGGTCTTCCTTAAACAAGGGGAGGTCTCCGCCACACACAGTACATTAACATTAACAAGGTTCTATAATAGCTGTGATTGAGGAAATAACTCTTCAACAATCCCAAAGCATTGACATCAAGTGAGGCATGAACAGTAGGATGTGGTCGCTAAAGGCATCTGCCAGAGTCCTGGAAAACATCACTGATGACCAGGTTACCCAAATGGTCTTCTCCACTGGTAATGTCACCATTCCACTGAGCTCCAGAACACTGCTCAGAAAAGTCCACAAAAAAAAAGAAAGTAAGAAAGAAAGAGATCAGTCTGGCCATTCATTCACACCGAGAAAATAAAGTGGATGAAAAGCTCATAGTAACTGCAGTCAAACATGCAGCTGGATGGGCCGCCTATACTTGCCCCAATTGGAGAGCATTACACAGCACTGCTCTGCAACATCACAGGCCTGTGAGACTGAGTCATTTTCACTTTAGAAAATGGAACCAAGCTCAAAAAATGAAGTCGTTTCATAGGGTTAGATTGGATGTTAGAGGTGGGAGAGACTTGAAGGAGTAAACCAACCCCTCCCTCCCTCTGCCCACCTGCCCAGGAGGGGAAGGAAACTAGCCCTAGGTGAGGAGGCAAGTCAGTTGCAGAGGTAGCTTTTCAGTGGTCTGACTCCTCCCTCCCAGCCCCATGTACCACGTGGCCTCTGCCGGGGGATCTATGGTCCTCTGGCACCTCTGATCTAGGATTAGTATATCTGATGAGGTAATTGTCTCCTTGGGAATAGTAAAGGGGTGTAGGAGAAGGTGGAGGGGAGGCAGTGATAAGCTTAGAAAGCTCCCCAGTTGAGAGCCTTGCCCTAGGGAGGGCAGCCTTGATCAGGGGTCACAAACAGAGTCCTGGGTAGTCTGGGGATGGGTGATAGAAGGGCTCTCGGTGTCCTGAGGCAGGACTTTCAGTGACACACTTCTCTTGCCCTTCTGCCTCCTGCCAGGCCTCTTCAGTTCTATATAAGACCCAGCTCTGCTGGTAGGAAAGGATCAGGCTCTCCCCTGCTCCCAATTTGGGGAGGGGTCTCCTCTTCCCCTTATTTTTCACGTGGCAGCAGCATGAAAGGCAAGGAGGGTATGTGCCAAGCAGAGCCTCCCAGATAATATATGTGCCCAGTCATGTGTACTTCCTCCACCCCATCTCCCCTCCCCAAGCTGCCTCTGGCCCTGGCGTGATTCCAGGTAATCCTCCTGCTCCCCACCTTTCCCCAGAAGCCTGCTGAGGCCTTTCAGCTGGGCTAGGTATCTGGCAGCTTGGACCCCTGAAGGGCACGATGGGATTTATAACCACACACAGCACTCTCCCATCCCAAGACATGGAACCAACTATCTCCCTGTGGATAGATGAGTGGATACTCTCCCCTCCCCATGGATCTAGAGAGAGAAGTCTAACAAGAGTGCAAGCTTGGCACCGAGGTCCAGAACATAGGGATTCCCTAACCCAGGCTCAGATGCCTGAGGGTCTCCAGGGGAAATGTCGCCTGTCGCTGCTATCCTTTCCCTCCTCCTTGCCTATGTGTGGCAGGCAAGGGGAGAGGGGGGCAGTGTGGGTAGGCAGTACGTGCCAGATGGCACAGGGGAAGCCTGGTAAAAGGAGAGGGAGGAGGGGGAAGAGAGGTGAACAGTCTTCAGGGTTGGGGGAAGGGCATACTGGCCCAGGTAGGGTGAGGTAGGTACTGAACAGAGGGCAGAGTGAGAGGCATTTAGGGTTATAACAAAGGTTGACAAAGAAGAAAGTCAATTTCAGTAAGAACTAACCAACATTTCAATAAAATTCAATATTATTTGTAGTATTTCACACCCATAGTCCCTCACCTTCTCATACCTCTTTGGGTCTAAGCTCAATCATTATGATTTCACAGCATTCCATTTTCTTGAGGTGATTCTTCAATAGCTCAGAAATCTTTCCCTAATTCACATTTGAAGACAGCACATTTAACTCACATTTGAGGATATAGCCTATATAATGCGTTGGTGTGGCCATGAGCATGATCCTGAGAAAGGATGCTAGTTGTTGAGTTGTTTCAGTTACATCTGATTCTTTGTGACACCATTTGAGATATTCTTGGCAAAGATATAGGAGTGATTTGCCATTCCTTCTTCAGCTCATTTTACAGATGAGAGAACTGAGCTAGTGAGTGTCTGAGGTGGGATTTGAACTGAGGAAGATGAGTCTTCCTGACTCCAGGCCCAGAGCTTTGTGCACTATGGCACCACCTAGTTGCTCCCAGGAATACTAGAGGTGCCTGTTAAGGACCAGCCAAGCTGAATTCAAAAAGACCCATCACTTGGGTCTTTGACCTGAAGAGGATGAATGTTTTTGATCCCTGATTCTCTCTGATAATAGAGCAGTTGCAATATGTGTTGGGGAAGGGGAAACCCAAGTGGATGAAAATCTAGCCTCTGTAGGTCCAATGTGGTGAATGGAAAAGGCACAAGATTTGGAGTCAGGGGACTTGGGATCCTACTTAATATCTTGTGACCTTGGGCCAATCCCTTCATCTCCCTGGGGCTCAATTTCCTAATCTGTAAAACAAGAGGGTTGGATTGATGACCTCTAAAGGCTCCTCTCAGATCTTTACTCATGATCCCAATGAGCACTAGGCCTGGAGTCAGGAGATTTGGCTTTGACCCTGGCTCCACCATTAACTAGTTATATGACTGTTGGCAGCTAGGTGGCACTGTAGTGGATACACAGGCTTGAAATCAGGAAAACTCATCTTCCTGAGTTCAAATCCCACCTCAGACACATATTCACTGTGTGACCCTGGGCAAGTCACTTAACCCTGCTTGCCTCAGTTTCCTCATCTGTAAAATGAGTCGGAGAAGGAAATGGCAAACCACTCCAGTATCTTTGCTAAGAAAACCCCAGATGGGGTCATGAAGAATTGGACACAACTGAAAAATGACTCAACAACAACAACTGTTAGCAAGTTATTTGCCTTCTCTAGGCTTCACAATCCTTCTCTATAAAATGAAGAAGTTGGACTAGAAGATGATCCCCTTCCAACTCAGACCATCTGTGATTCTAGGGATGGAGACCAAGAGCAGAGCTGGAGGCTAAGGCTGAGAACCTGGGGCATAAGGGTTGGGCCTCCTCCTCCCCTTCACTGAAGTTTTGAGGTCATTGTGAAACCTCTCTATCCATCCCATTCCCATTCTCCATGGAGGCTCTATTGGGAGGGCAGTGGTCTGGGAGACAAAGGTTTGGAGGAAGTTAGGGGCAGCTAGGTGGCGCAGTGGATAATGTACCAGCCCTGAAGTCAGGAGGGCCTGAGTTCAAATCTGGCCTCAGACCAAACATTTAACACTTACCAGCTGTGTGACCCTGGTCAAGTTACTTAACTCCAATTGCCTTTAAAAAAAAAAAAAGAGGAAGCAAGGATGGCTGCAGGGTCTGCCTCTCTTATTTTCTTGTCCCCACTGGGATACAGGGCTGCTGCTGCCCACATCACCTCCAAGGCTAAAGCTTTCCACCTGCCTGTGGGCACAGAACATCACTTCCAGGAGCTGCATCAGACTTTGGCCCTGCTGCAAAGAGACGTAGAAAGTGTGCTCCCCCTGCCGGTGAGGCTGGGGACCCATAGGGTGGGGTGGGGGTGGGGAACAGGGTTTGGGATGGAATTTAGTATGCCCCCTCCCCCTTCTCTAATTCTCTCTATCAGACTTTCCCTACTCAAATTCTCTGAGAGTGTTAGTTTATGCGTAGATCCAACCTTCTCTCACCTCTTTCCTGTCTGGGGTCATCTTTCTTCCTGCTTTTGTATGTGCATATGTGTATACATTTGTTTCTGTGTGTATCTCTGTCTATCTGTATCCATTGTGTTTGTGTGCTCCTGTATCCCTTTCTGACTTCATCTATTGGCCCTGTGTGTTTCTTTCTCCTCAGTCTTAACCTATTTCTGAATGCATGCACAGCGCTTTTCCTCCCTTTCACCCTCAATCTCTGTTAACCTTTTCTCTGTAGGGTCTGGAGATCTATTTCCACCTCTTTGGATACATTCTCTGCCTTATAATTGCATTTATTTCCTCATCTCTGGATCATCATTCTGTCTGTCTATCTCTTCCTCTCCCCTTCTTTTCCTCTCTCTCCTCCATCTCCATGTCTCTGTCTCCCTCTCTCTTAATCTCCTCTACCTCTGTCTAGCTATCTCCCTCCCTTCATCTCTCTCTCTCTCTCTCCCTCCCTCCCTCCCTTTCCATGTCTTTCTGTCTCTGTCTAGCTATCTCTCTCTCCACTTTCCTTTCTGTCTTCCCTCCACTTTCCTTTCTGTCTTCCCTTCCTTTCTCTTCTCCTTCATATCCCCAGTCCCCAAGCTACTCCCAGCCACTCAGATGAAACCCTGCTTCTCCCATGGACACTGGGGCCTGGCAAGAGGCTTTTTGCCACTCATTATCACTTGGTAGAAGCCAAGTTTTTGGAAAAAGATTGAATTTGCCTCACATTGGGGATTAGGACTTCCCAAGTTATGGGGGCACAGATCTCCTTCCAACAGGAACCCTTTCTTACCCCTACCTCTGGACTCAGAGCGAAGAGCTGAGAATAAATCCTCAAATTCTCCCCCTGCAGAAACATGCAGCCAAGGCTTCCTGTTCCCATGCTGTGAGGGTCCTGTGCCTATCCCGTGGCATCTTTCTGCTCTTTCTCCTGATCCAAACTGGCTGTGTCTTTTACTGTCTGCTTTTCAGGTGGGTGATAATGACTCCTCTTTCCATACAGCTGACTTTCTTCTTCAAGAAGCCAAAACTCACAAATCTTTGAAAAACCCTTTTGAAGACAGGCTAGGAATTAGAATTCATGGTACAAATAGGGATACTGAGGCCCAGTCAGTAGCTTGGCCAAGCTCACATTCAACTTAGTAACAGAACTCAGTTCTCCGAACTGTCAATGTATTTTTCAACAGTCAACAAACTTGTGTTAAGTGCGTCCTGTGTGCCAGGCACTGGGCCCAGTTCTAGGGATATACAGAATGACTCTCGAGAAGCTAATAGTTTAATGGAGGAGACATGTAAACATCCATGCACAAACAAGCTACACAGAGGATAAATTGGGGGATAGTCTGAGAGGGAAGGTACTAGCATTCAGGGGGATCAAGATAAGCTGCTAGTACAACGTGGGATTTCAGCTGGGACTTGAAGGAAACCAAGAGGCCCAGATGAGGAAGGAAAGTATGGTGATAACTACGATAAACAGAGTGAAGATATCCTAGAATCTAGAGACAGAGTGCAAGGCACAGCAAGGAGGGCGATGTCACTGGATTTCAGAATACATGGGGGGAATAAGGTTCAGAAGACTAGAAAGGTAGGAGGCAGCTATGTTGTGAAGGGGAGGGAGCAAGCATTTGCTAAGCACCTACCATGTGCCAGACACTATACTAGGCATTTTGCAACTATCTCATTCGATTGCTAAACAGATTTTATATTTGACCCTAAAGATAATAGAGGTACTGAAGTTTATTGAGTGGGGGAGAGGGGAGGTATGTGGCACTGTGGTTACACCACAGCGGGAACTGACCACAGAACCTACCCCCTTCTTTTGACCTCAGCATGATTGCCCAGTCGGGGTACTCATCACTTACCAAGCCACAGGTTTATAGAATCATGGTATTGTTGTTTAATCACGTCCAACTCTTCATGATACCATGGACCATAGCAAGCCAATATTCTCCATGGGGTTTTCTTGGCAAAGATACTTGCCTGGTTTGCCATTTCCTTCTCCGGGATTAAAGCAAACACAGGTTAAATGACTTACCCAGTAAGTATCTAAGGCCAGATTTAAACTCCTGTCTTCCTGACTCTAGACCCAGAACTCTATCCATTGAGCCACCCAGCTGCCTCCTCATACAATCATAGATTCTCAGAACTTAAAAGGACTTTAGAGATCTTCTCATTTAATTCTTGACTGAAGCAAGCATCTCCTCCTAAATCCCCTCAGATAAGCAATCATCACACCTTCACTTGAATACCTCTAGTGACAGTGAACTCACTACCTATCCAGGTAGCCCATTCAGGTTTCTGATATACCTAAGTCCCAATTAGATCAAATTAGAAATTCCCATGAAGTGGTCACATTATTCAAATTAGCACTGCCACATTTCCCTTGTGCTGGGACCAATGCCCATAATTTTCCATAATTATAACTTCAAATAGTGAAAATTCAAATGCATTCAACCACTTCAAGGAATTCACATTAATTGAGACCTCACTACAGCTCTAACCATTAGAGAGTGTTTCCTTGTAAACCAGTTCTTTATCTATTCCACTGGGTTACCCTTCAAGAAGCTTCTAAGTCTTCTGGTCTCCAGGCTTAACATCTCCAGTTCCTTAAGCCAGTCCTTGTGTGTTTCACTCTCCAGTCCTGCTACCATCCTGATTGCCATCCTCTGAGCCTACCCTCTCAGACGTGGATCCCGAATGGGTTTCTTCCCAACTTGTGGAAAGGATGAGTTTATGAGATAGGAATATAGAAAGACACAGGCATGAAAAAAAATCAATCAATTTCTCAGGCATTATTAAACTATTGACTCTAATTAGAAAATGAAAGAGCATGAACAGATTCCTACCATATGCTGATCTGTATTCATTATGTGAGGGCAGGTGGGGTATGGCAGCATCTCCAAACTCACCTCTGCTCTCAGCTAAGATCAGTGTGATTCAGCTCAGGTCAACAAATATTTGCTGAGTGTCTCTATGTGCCCAGCCCCGGCTTTGTGTTTGAGAGAGGCAGGAAGAGGAGGAAGACATAGATTTTGCTTGTAGGGATTTCCAAGGCTGGTTTGAGGTGTGGTCAAAAGGGTACTAGACTTGAGATCAGATCACCCAGGCTCCAGTACCAGCCTGCTGGGTGACTTTAGTCAAGTGATTCACCTTCCTAGACCTTAGCTTCCTTGTCTGTACAATGGGAATAATAATACTTGTGCTGACTGCTTCACACCATTGTTGTGGGGGAAGTGCTTTGTTAATTGTAAAGCCTTACAGAAATGTGAGTTACTAATCATGGAGAAGGTGAAGCTCGAGCTGAGCCTTGGAGGATGGGTAGGATTTGAAAGGGTAGAAAGAAGGCAGAGGCCATTCCAAGGCCTTCCCTTCTCTCATTCCACAATCAAAGACATAGACCCAACTCTAAGCATTGTATGTGCCAAGCAGAGTGAGGCCCCTCTCTGCTCCCCCCATGACTGGATAATAGGATGCATGTTGGGTTGAATGTATTAGCTTGAGCCAGCTTGGGCAAGGGCCTTGAATATCATTCTGGGGGTGGGGGGTTGGGTTGGCATGTTAGACAATAGGGAGTAGCTATGGGTTCCCAAACATTGATTGCAGTTGTTCATTGGGGTAGAGGAGCCTATGGGGTGTGTAGGGTGGACCAGGGGTTCACAGGTCTAGAATCAGATGGAAGCCCAGAGACCATTGAGTCCCATATGGTTTGGAGGCAGCAGAGGCTACAGCCAGCCAGAGTGACTTCTCATTTTGTGTTCTCTCCTTGTTCACAGGTGGGAGACTGACAGGAGCCTCAGGGAATGCTTTTCCAAGAATTTCCTCGTCCTGGCCCTTGGCTCAAAACAGCTGTTCAGGAGGGTCAGCAGAGTGCCGAGACAAGACTCTCTGACCCCAAGGACATGCCCCTAAACTTCCCACCTCAGCCAAACAGGCAAAAAAGTCCCTAATTTGGCTAGGTATGCTCTAGCCTTCCCTTCCAATATGTTCTCTCTCCTTACTGTTTTCTTCCTGGGCATGTTTCCTTGGAAGACTAATTCAGGATGAACCCTCTGCTGCATTAAAAGCATCTGGTGGGTTTTTTTTTCCCTTCCTTTGCCTCTCCTCCATCCACCACCCTTCCTTCCTGTAGCATCTTCCATACTGAGGTCTGATTATCAACGAAGGCTGTCAACATCTCTCAGTTGCTGCCTTGCCAAATGGGACCCTGAGGCTCTCAACAGTAGGAGAGATGGGCAGGAAGAGGTGGGGGAGAATGGCTTTCCAGAAAACTAGTCTATTCCATGCATTTGACTCCTAGACCCTTGGAAAGAGGGAGAAATAGAGGTATTGACAACTCTGCTTAAGGACAGGACCCAGGAAATCCCTCCATGCCACGACTTCCCAAATGAACAGAAATGACCAGCCAAGGAAGGGGCATAGAAAAGAGCTGAAGCCAATGAGTCTTTTTCAGCCCAACCATTTAATAATAATAAATAACTAGAGTAGCTGGTCGGTGCATTATGGCTTAAAATTTACAAAACTCTTTCACATTCCTTATCTTCTTTGATCATTGAAGAAACCCTGACTGGTATCCAGCATAGAGATTTATATGCCATTTTGCAGATGAAGAAACTGAAGTCCAAGGAATATATTAATATGATCTTATCACATAAAATCATAGATTTGGAGCTGGAAAAGACCTTGGGGTCATCTAATCCAACCTCACTTCACAGGTTAGGTAACTGTGATCCAGGGGCTAAATGACCTGCCTGTGGTCACACAAATAGTGGCACAGCTGGGATCTGAACTGAGGTTCTCTCCAAATCCAGATCCAACATCTTTCCACTACAATTCAACACTTCAAATAAGGGAAGCGATATGTACAAGGTCACGTGCAAGGTCACAAGGTCACAACCTTTCCCACTGTCTTGGTGCCTTACCAACCTTTTCCATCTCATCTGACCTCCACAGTGCCCTTGTGACACAGAATGGGGAGGGATCGTTACACCCATTTTATCGGGAATATTGGAGATCCAGAGGGAGAAGTGACTTGTACACAGTCAAGGTTATTTACCTGACGCACAGACTAAACATAGCCTAGACTAGAGCTAGCATGTTCTGACTCCTGGGATGTTTCTCTTGGGGAATGTATTGTCTTCTTATTAATTCACCTTCTATTATCAGTGCACTGCTGTTATCTAAAAGACGTGCCTCTTTGGGTTTTAGGGTTTTTTTTGTGTATTGATATACTTTTTTTTGATACAACTGATATTTCCCAAGAAACACCTGAATAACCCTTCCTACAATGCATGATTTCTTGAAAACAGTTGATCAATTGTTAATAGAAGAGAGGCTTGTGTCCTTGTGTGGTATCAATATTGATCGTTGTATTTGACAAGAGTTTTGGATGTCTTGCCTGGCTAACTTCATTTAAATTCTTCAAATAGTCGTTGGAGGCACATTTCCTTGTGAACCCTCTGCCTGGGGCTAGGATGGATCTTGATAGTTAATGAAGTTGAAGTCCCTGTCTCCTTATTCAATTATGTCCCAGACATCCCAAAGAAGCTAGTTGGTACGGTGGATAAAGTGCCGGCCCTGGAGTCAGGAAGACCTGAGTTCAAATCCAGCCTTAGACACTTACTAGCTGTGTGACCCTGGACAAGTCACTTCACCCTGTTTGCCTCAGTTTCCTCATCTGTAAAATGAGCTGGAGAAGGAAATGGCAAACCACTCCAACATCTTTGCCAAGAAAACCCCAATTGGGGTCACAAAGAGTCAGACATGACTGAAACAACCGAACAACATCCCAAGCAAACATCCAGCCAAAGGAAAGAACTTTTGAAATAAAAGCTTTTGAATAAAATACAACATAATAGAGTAATAATAGTACAAGATTTGACGTCAGAGGACCAGGGTTTAAATTTGACTCTGCTATTTACTTGCTGACTCTGGGTAAGTCATTTAACTTCTCTGAGTTCTTAATTTCCTCATCTGTAAATGGAGGGGGTGGGGAGTTGAATGCTTAAGGTCTTTTATAAACCTATAATCACATGAAAAAAGCAACTACTTTTCTCTGTGACTGGTTCTAGTGTTTGGAACCTGGCAGAAAGTCCTTTTCTCTATTTATCTATAATCCCTTATGGTCCAATCCCTATTTGCTGCTATGCCATCATCTGTATAGCCAGATGTTGATAGGGTTCTAGAGGGTTGGAGGGGCAACATTGGGATAATAGTAGGCAAGCTGAGTCCTCAACAATAGTAACCCTTTGTGGAGCAGCTGGTGGAGAAGTGGACTGGGGGGGAGCCATGCTGGTGACTGGAAGGGACATAAATTGGATTTTCTGGACCCTTCCAGTTACTGACCCTGCCTTGTACTCCCTTTGCTGCCCTGTAAGGTTCCTGCCTATCACCACCCTCTTCTAAGGAGCAAGGGAGAAAAGAGGATCAGAGTTAATAAAATCTGGGCTGGATTGAGCTGGGTGTTGTGCTCTATGGACTCTAATCTGAGCTGTGAACTCTAGATTTTGTAGGAATTCTGGACTCTGGCTCTCTTCTGGACTCTGGGCTGGGCTCTGTAAGCTCTGTCCTCTCCCCCACTAACCACATCCCCAAATGAATGATATCTTGACTGGGCTGGGTGAAGCACTGAGATAGGTTCTGGAGGAGACTGTGGGCTGGACTCTGGGCATTTGATTCAACACAACTTTATTAAGCATCTACTGTATGCAAAGCACTGTTCTAGGCAGAGGGAGGAAGATTTTAAAGTTTATATAAGATGTTTTTTTTTTTCCTCATTCATGAAGCTTCCAGTCATATGGCACATACACAGCTATAATACAATATAATGTATGACATGCAAGTGAGAGCTGCAGACAAAATGCTATCAATGTCAGGGGAAGGGTGGGAAGCTTATTAATCAACCCAGAGAATCAAGGAAACTTCATGGAGGAAATGTCTTTTTTATTTTTTACTGTCTAGAGTTCTTTTTTTTCAATATTCTTTTTGAAAATAACATTTTGAGTTCCAAATTTTTCTCCCTTCCTCCCTCCTCTTTCACCTCCACAAGGCAGCAAGTAATCTGATATAGGTTATACGTGTGCAATCATGTAAAACATATTGTGGAAATGTCTTTTGAATTGAGCTTTAAGGGCTTATGGTCTTTGGGCTCTGGGCTGGTTGAAATTATGGGTCATGTTCTAGGCTGGGGGCTCTAGGCTGTACTTCAGTCTGGTCTGTGAGCTCTGTGTAGAGTTAGAATCTAGGCTCTGGGTTGAACTATGGACTAGGCAAATCTCACCTAAAGGACTGAGATCTAAGCTCCACTTGCCTTCCTCTGAAATCCCCGATATTTTCTAGTGGCCAATCAGGAATTAAGGATGTGAAGAACATCTAGTTTAACCCTGCCCCCCAACAGGAGAGGAAATTTGAGTCCCTTAAAGGGGAAATGGGGCAGCTAAGTGGTGCAGTGGATTAAGTGCTGGGCCTTCTGAATTCAAATCTGGCCTCTGACAATATGGGATCCCGGACAAGTCACAACTCTGCCTCAGTTTCCTCATCTGTAAAATCAGCTGGAGAAGGAAATGGCAAACCACTCCAGTGTCTTTGCCCCAAGAAAACCCCAAATGGGGTCACAAAGAGTCGGACACAACTGAAAGGCCACTGACAACTGCAGGTGTCACTGAACAGCAACAACAAAGGTGAAATGATTTGCCCAAGGCTACATAGGGATCTGACCCAAGCTTCTAAACCGTATCCCATGACTCCAAATCTAGGGTTCTCTCCGCAGCTCAGAGACTTCCCTTCCACACAACTCTAGCCCGTGCAATACCCCACAGGCAGCCCTTAATCCACTGTCACTTAACTCCCTTGATGAAGCTTGGGGAGGGTGGGGAGTGTCGGGGGAACAGAACATGTGGTCTGGTCGCGTCAGTCCGGTGAACGCCCCCTCATCCCTCTTTAAAGAACTGGAGAAAGCTGAGAGCTAGGTTTGAGGACTGAAGGGAGGGGCTGAATCAGACACTGCTAGCCAAACTCGGTGGCAGCCTGTGCCCAACTCCGGCTTAGGGGTGCAAGTCTAGCACAGGGTGGGAGCTGTCCACAGGGGACGTAGTGCTGAAACTCTCTAGAGCCTGATAAGCAACAACAGAGAAAGTCGCTCTAAGGGCTGGAGGGTTGAACGGATCTCGCCTTCCTCCGGAGTCCTCTCTCCTCAGAGATCCCCTGCCGTCACCCACTCCTGGTTAGGGGAGAGATATGGCGTTCATGGTGAAAACCATGGTGGGAGGCCAGCTGAAGAACCTCGCTGGGGGCCTGGGGGGCGGCGAGGAGAAGGGTGAAGGGGACAAATCGGCGGCTGAAGCTCAAGGCATGACCCGGGAGGAATATGAGGAATACCAGAAGCAACTGGTAGAGGAGAAGTGAGTAGGGGAATCCCCTTCTGGGTTTTAATCCCTCCTGTCTGTCCCTCGCATTTCCCCCTCCCTAGAGACTCCTGGCTTGTCTACTTTCAGGGGCACCGACCCCCTCCCCGCTGCAACCGCCACTGGAAGAATCTATTCCCCTTCCCCATTCCCTGGGACAGGACCAGATTCCAAAGAGAGGACCGAGGAATTCCTCCAAGATAAAACATCCCGAGACTCCAGGAGCCAATTCCAGCCTGTCCCCAACCTCAGCCCTTCTTGGAAGAGCTGGAGAATCTGGGCTGTTGAGCATTAGTGAGTGAGGAAGCAACAAGGAAAACTCTGGAGCCAGAGAAGGATGCGAGGAGAGGGGGAATCAGGAGGTCCCTAATGTATTTCTGATGAAAACACATAATCCCTTAATCCGATTCTTACCCCTAGTGGGTTGGGTGTCTCAGCAGGATCTCTGGAACTGGGGGCTCAGGACCTGATGGGACAAGGGAGCCTGGAAGAGATAGATTGATAGAGATCTACACAGAGATAGAAATAGAGACAAAAACCAGCAGAAATGAAAGGCTAAAACAAACAGGCACAAAAAAGACCAGAA